AGTTGGGAATGAGCTTGGTGGACCTGAGAAACTAAAACGCCAGGGTGGCTGCAACACAACGAGTCAAGTAACACACAGTAATATATGACACAGCCCCAGATCTTGAGGACACATCCTGTTCACTCTATTAGGATCTCAAGCACATGTCTCCTCCATTTCATTTCCACAATTACTTTAGTTCTAGCCCCAATAACCTGCAGCTTATATTATTACAATAGCATTTGTACAAGCTGTTCACTGCCTGAGATATAATTCCTCTCATTTTCTGTTTGGGTAATTCTTATTTCTCCTTTAAAACCGAGTCCAATCATTATCTCCTCAGGAAAACCTCTTCCAGCCCACCCACCCTGAATGAGCTGATGCCCTTCCTGTATTCCTCAGCACCCTCTTCAGCATTTCCCACGCTTAGTTGTCATTGTTTTCTTCTTTCTCTTGTGTTGCGAGCTCCTTCGGGGCACAGAATGCCAATTCTGCCTCTGTGCTCCTCTGCTTTGGCCAGGTATCCTAAAAAGTGTTGGTCAAATATACGTCTTAATTACCACTAAACCTACTGCTCAATAGTCATTAAGATAAAGAATTTGGTAGATCTAACGATAAAAATTCTACAAAAATTATGCTTTTGGATTTTGATGTATTATAGTGTGTACCCGTAGGTTGTTTAAGATACAAGGACACAACACTAATTCACATTAGTCCATTACTTTGGATTCTTTCTCCTAACAATACAAATATGAGAATTTAACTACGTTTACAATTAAGTATTGTTCAAAATGAAACTTAAAATCTTCAATATAGTCTTTGCCATGTGGAATTAATTTGTGATTAAATGGACTGCATATAAGGTTCACAATGTTATAAGTATGATGTCAAAGTTTACCTATGAGAGAACACTGCATAGTTTCCAAACTCATTTACTGCATACAAGACCTTGCAGGATATTTGGTCCTATACAAAACATCCACGGAGACATCTGTTCCACACCAAAACCAAAAGGTCCTTGAAATTTGGTCCTGCTTAAAATGTCCATGGAGACATGTGGTCCACGCCAAAAGGCTGTTGAAATTTGGTTCTATTGAAAATGTCCATGAGTGTTTTCAGTCTATACCAATGGTCCTTGATGTCTGTTTCTGTCAAAAATGTCCTTGGGTTCAAATGGCCCATAACATTTATTTGTACTTCTGGCTAAAGGTTTAATAAAAGTACTATCATGTTTTATTGGTCCAACAAATGTGTTGTGGCTGTACTGTCAATAATAACCCTTTTTAACAAATCATGGACCAAATGCCTCAATGGATGTTTTAGATGGTACCAAATATGACCAAATATCAAGGACCTTTGAG